TATCCTACGAACACACGACATTGCTGAAGACAACCGTGTGGTCAAAGGATGCTACAAGGTTCAACGAAACCATAGACGTTCCGAGGGGCTGTGGTCCTACTTTTCAGAAAAAGAACAATAACCGACAGCGAGGAATACGTCTTCCCAAGCATCGAAAAGGTAAAGGTTACGATAGAGGGGAAACCGAATGCTGTATACAGTCAGGGCTTAACAACGGAAAATTTCTACGATGAATTAAGCAAAAAAACTGTCCGGAATAGCCAACAACACCTGTAACGACGACATAAGCGTCAGGAAATTCTACAAAGACAAATTCGCATTGGTGATCGATCTGAGAGCTGTCGACGACAACAATATAGTTGGAAGTGGAAAGAAGCTTCTCGGTGATAACCCCGGAATCCATCTAGAAATTGAAACGGACACTATTACCGAAGACATCCTCTGTAACATCTTTGTGCTATCATGTTTCGCTCGCTACTCTGGTTTAAATAAATGATTACAAATCTATTCTCAAGTCTGATCCTACTGGAAAGACTCAAAGAGGTTTAAACGCCAAGTTACTTCTTTTGAAGAAATCCAATATTATCAGCAAGGCTACATATGAAAAGTTATACAGCAGTGATGGACTATCTCCGCGTTTCTATGGTTTACCGAAAATCCATAAACCGGAAATTCCATTGAGACCTATTGTGTCCTTTGTCATGAATTCTCCTACATATGGAGTTTCAAGTTTTTTGGCGAAAATTTTGTCCCCTGTGGTGGGAAATACCGAAACACTGTCAAAAATTCCTGTCATTTTGCAGAATTTGTAAGAGGTAAAACTTTTAAAGCAGATCAAGTGTTGGTATCATTTGATGTCGTAATAATTGCTAATTTAGTAATGGAAGATGTCGAACAAAGAGCTTTAGCCTCTGTTCCGGTGTCCCTATCGTTTTGGAAACGTTTCGTCGATGATGTCATCTCTCCGGTTTCTACAAATAAGATCGATATTCTGCTGCAACATTTAAATTCTATTGAGCCGTTTGAGCCGTCCATCCAGTTCACGGTAGAACGTGAAATAAATGGACATTTAGCTTTTTTAGATTTGAATGTACACAGAACTGTCGAAGGGAAGTTAGAGACTGATGTTTATCGCAAACCCACACACACAGACAAATATTTGTCATACGACTCTCATCACCCAGTAAGCCATAAAAGATCCGTAGCAAAAACTTTGCTTCAAAGAGCTGAATCGTTGCTGTCAAACAGTGATTCTCAAGCTAATGAACGTGAATATGTTCTAAATGTTTTAGGGGAAAACAATTACCCAAAGCGTTTTCTTAATGATTGCCTGAGACCACCTGTTTGTAGGAACCAAAATAACTCCGAGGGAGATACCTCTGTTAAGGGTTTTGCAATAGTTCCATACATTCAAGGTGTCACAGAACCAATCAAGAGAATCTTAAGTAATTGTAATATTAAGGTTGCCTTTAAACCCTATTTGACCTTAGGCCATATTTTCGCAAAGCCAAAAGATCCTGTTGAAAAAATCAGAAGACTCATGCTATATATTCTATACCATGCGGTGACTGCGATAAAGAGTATTTGGGTCAGTCTAAACGCCAGTTTGGTACACGGCTAAAAGAACATCAAAAGGCTGTTTCAACTTTAGACAAGGGAAAATCAGCTTTAGCCGAACATGTATGTTACACTAAACACGAGATTGCGTGGGAAAACTCTAAAGTAATTACCACAAACAATCACTATGGTCAAAGACTTTGCCTAGAAGCGTGGCATATAAATATGAGTCATCATGCTTTGAATAGGGATGACGGCGCCTATTTGCCAGAGGAATATATGCATCTTCTTGGCAGGTGACGTCATCCCTTGGGGTATTTAAGAAGCCACGATCGCAGTTTTAGATCACCCCTGATGAAGACACTAGACTTGAGTGTCGAAACGTTGGGTCTTGATTACAATTCGACTGGGCTTTGTAATCATTTATTTAAACCAGAGTAGCGAGCGAAACATGATTGATACCTGGTTGCAGTGAACGAACAAACGTTATAACTAAAAACGTATAAGAAAAAAATGGATCCGATGGATACATTGGATAAGTATTTAGTTATAGCTACATACTTATGCGTTGTATACATCGCCGGATCCATTTTTTTAACAATAAAAACTTATAAGAAACCTTACTTTTTTGGTGTTTTGCCACGCAGGAACCGGAAGTCGCCAGGTGACGAAAATACCACAGTTGGATTTGCAGTAAAATTTTGAGTGTGAGGTAGGTTAGGTATATTGACAAAAAGTTAAGGGTAACACAAAAAATTAAGAGGGCTAAAAATTGACAAAATGTTAAGGTGTTAAGTTAAGGTGTAAAAATTGACAAAATGTTAGAGTCAAACCGGATGTTCTCTTGCGAGCAACATTGCGATATTGTCCCACAATATTGCAATTTTGACAGGCAGATTGCTCAGAGCAATTTGCAACCGACGCGAACAAATTGCAAATTGAAATTCCGAAAGATTTGTGAACAAAGCCTCTAATTGGACTATAAGAAAGAGGGAAGTCAATCAAGTAGTCTGAGCAACTGGATTGGTGCTTACCTTACCTTGTTCTTATAATCCAATCAGAGGCTTTGTTTACAAATATTTTGTGAATTTCAATTTGCAATTTGTTCGCGTCGGTTGCAAATTGCTCAGAGCAGTCTGCGTATCAAAATTGCAATATTGTGGGACAATATTGCCATGTTGTTCGCAAGAGAACATCCGGTTTGACTGTAACATTTTGTCAATTTTTACACCTTAACTTAACACCTTAACATTTTGTCAATTTTTAGCCCTCTTAATTTTTTGTTACCCTTAACTTTTTGTCAATTTACCTAACCCTATCTCACACTCAAAATTTTACTGCAAATCCAACTGTGGTATTTTCATCACCTGGCGACTTCCGGTTCTCGCGTGGCAAAACAGCAAAAAAGTAAGGTTTACTTTTCGTCTATTTTTAGCCTATTTTTCAATTTTTGAAAAGCAGGCAAAAAACAGCAAAAAAGTAAGGCTATAGTGGCTTGAATTTAAACGAAAAAGTGGCTAAAACTGGACGAAAAGTTAATGCTATAGCCTTACTTTTTTGCTGCTTTTTGGCCCTTTCTGAAAAATGAAAAAAGTCGCTGAAAATGGATGAAAAGTTAAGTTTATAGGCTAAATCCAAAATTCCAGAAATCGGAAAAAGTAACGCAACGTATAGAGGCTTAAAAAAGACAGAATAGAAACAAATCAGGATACCACACATAATAGTAATGATAGAAGCTCTACTTAGCTAGACTTAGTTGATTTGTATGTTGTGTTCAATATTCTTTCAATCGTCTTTTTCTTTCTTCAGTTTTTTCTTCTCACAGCTCTTGGGAGTTGATTCCTCCTACGAAAAATTAACATTTATTTGTCTTAAACTATTCAGCAACAAAATTGGAATGTAAACATTAAAGGCATAGTTCAACCTTTTCAATGATGGTTTTAAGGCGCATTTCCGCCCTTTTAATTGAGAAAAACTAACTAGGAAAATCAATTGAGCATAATTCAAAATCTGCAAACTTGATGTTTTTAACACTTAAAATCATTTTTATTGTTAAAAACATTGAGTTTACTGATATTGAATTATGCATAATTGATTTTCCTAGTTAATTTTTTTTCTCAAGGGAAACGCGCCTTATAAAGTATCATCCAAAAGGCTGAACTGTGCCTTTAAGGGCAATGGAATTATTGTCTATTATAGTTAAAAGGGAAGTTGATGTGAATAATAAAGATGATCTAAACAAATGTATGCCTGGCTAAAATGGACGAAACATTTAGGGCCTGCATTTGCTATTTTTCACCACTTTTACAAAAATCAAAAAAGTACAGCAGGTAAAAATGGACGAAAAGTTAAGGATTTAGTCTTTACTTTTTCCTCCTTTCCCAAAAATAAAGATTATAAAATTGGATGAAAAGTTCTTGTTCACAATTAACTAGTTATATCTTCACTCAAGCAAACAAAGTTTAACCCATTAAACTGCAGAGCTTCCCCATTGACAAGTAAAATGTCTGGCGTTAGACAACTAAAAAAATAATAAGTAGGGCGCATTGCAGCTCAATGGGTTAACTATAAACATTGTCAGACTTTTTGGTTAACCCATTAAGCTGCAGAGCTTTCCCATTGATGAGCAAAATCGCCTGGCATTAGACAAGTAAAAAAATAAGTAGGGCGCATTGCGGCTCAATGGGTTAACTAGAAACGTTAGACTTTTTGGTTAAGCCGCAGAGCTTTCCCATTGACAAGCAAAATCGCCTGGCGCTAGACTCTGAAAAATTGTGGTTCCGATGCACCCCTAGCTAAAAAATATTTTTAAAATTTGCTCAACATCATTGTGGACGATCTCATCATCTGTCTCTTAAATTATTAACAAAAATCTGGGTAATGGACAGTGTTGCTCACTAACATCAATTATAAATAATACATTAGTGAATGACATAAGCATACCTTCAGGTTGACCGTTTGTCTCTTCTGTATAAACTGTCTCTTCATGTTTACGTTTCTTGCTGGAGGTTGGGAGGGTTGAGTCTGTTGCTGGGTTATAACCTTTGACCTCACTAGAAATGAAGAGATGAAAGTGCTGTCAGTCAATGGGTTAATCAGAGTATATGCCCATGTATCCTGTGAACCCTTCAAGTGGCAACACACCATTAAGTATTTTCTCTATCTATGTATCCCAAAGGTTGTGGGTTCAATTCCCACCATGGTCAGGTAAACTTTTCAGCTTGCCTGGTGTGGATGCATTCTCAGAGTAACACCACAAATATCATATTCACCCTGAGTATGTAACACCAACACAAAAAAGGTACGAATTATAGACAAAAAATATATTTGCATAAATTTTTACTCACTCTTTCATTTCGTACTTTTCAGCCTTGGCAACCGATTTACCAGTACCACTTAATTTCTTCAACTGCAAAAAATAAGTAAATTATTTTTTACAAAACTTGGTAAGGCAAGCTTAAAAATTTATGTACACACAAAGAAAACAAACTTGAATTTTTTGTGTGTTGGTGTAATGTACTCAGGTGAATATGATGCTTGTGATGTTTACTCAAGTGTATATCCACACCAGGTAAGCTTGAAAAATATGCCTGGCATATGCCGGTGTGGTCATACACTCAGAGTAACATCACAAGAAAACAAACTTGTCAAATAAAAGTTGTCAAATAAAAGTTGTCAAGGAAAAATTGTTGATCCCGAAATAAGATGATTGTCTTGGGAAAATGTTTGGAAAAGAAACATCTATTATTATCAACCAGATTTGCATGAGGTGGTCGCACACAGCATAGGCAGTTGCGATATATCGATATTTCAAATATATCGATATTTAATATTTCGCATATCGAAAGTTGTAACTAAACAACTTAATCTGCGATTATTCGGCAATTATTGTTTTCATCGGTGAAGTTTAGACAATGTGTGTATGGCGGCAATTGTGAATTTATGTTACAAGTGCGTGGGCAATTGAAATTAAAAGCTGAGTTGGAGATGACAGATAAACTGTTGTTAATAAATCTTTGAGACGTACAATGACTGGTTTCATGCACTTCTTTTTAACTGTTTGTGATGCATATACATGCAAGTTGACTAAATTACGTTTTCTCATTTGCATAATTCGATATAGTCAATATTATCAATATTTTTTTTTTCGATATCGATATATCGATTTTTTTCAATATCGCAACTGCCTAATACAGTATCATGTAAAACCGTTGTAAGTCGCTTTGAAATAGACTGCATTACTTTAGATGCATTGTTGCTTACTGCAGGGTGTGCATTAAAATCACAGTTGGTATTGTTAAACCTGCTTACACTTTACAAGCACTTACATGGCCTTCTTCCAATGCACAGACTCTTGACTCGACTTTAGCTTTGTTTACATTCCCAGTTCAACACTTGAGTCCTTGCCCAATGCATCCACTCTGGCAGCTAGTGAGGCTTTGGCTGCTAACATTCGTGAAACCTAAATAAAAAACATTTGAAGATTGAAAGATTATCCTCTGAGGAGTCATGTAATGAGCTGGTTTTACATGTATCTGTGGGTGTTTTGTAATTTATTATAAATTCTGCAATGATTTACCAAAGTAAATAAATAGAGAATAATACATGGGTGCGTGGAAATACCAGATTTATTTCGAGGGTAAATAAAGAAATTATCAAGGGGAAATTTATATACAGAGTGAAATAATAAAGTAGGGCTCATCAGGATGCATATATTACCCAGTTAAAGGGTTAATTGAACACATTTAATAAAAGTGAATTGAACGATATTACGATATAAGATTGTTTAGATAATAATCTCGGTGTGTAATTCAAATTACTAATAATATCATGTACGTGTGATTAGTGTATTGAATGGGACAATGTAATTGGGTTAATAATTTATTCTTTGGAAGTGTATAAAATACAGCTTGTACACCCAGATTTTGAACTTAGATGGACATCCATATAACATGTGTATTTACAGTCAAATGTGGTGTTCCGTTGTGGGCAACATTGCCACACAATATTGATTGCCCTAGCAAATTGCAACTGACGCAAACAAATTGCAATTTTTATGTGCAGTAACAGTATTAAACCATCAACTGCAAAATTCAGAAGTTCATAATTTGATTTGAAAACAAGCTTGTAAATAAAGCCCGACTGGCTACTAGTACAAAACAAGCTGATCAAATGCTTGACAACCTCTCAACAAATTGTCAACACGCCCAATAATTGCAACTGTACGTAAAAATTGCAATTTGTGTTAAATTGTTTGCAATTTGCTAGAACAATCAACATTGCAATATAGATTATTGTGTGACAATACTGCCGGCAACGGAACACAGGATTTGACTGTGATAGTTTGTATTTTAATTCAATACAATTCCTGTTGTATATAGCATACATCTTAATAAATAGTACAAAAACCAACTCATCTCATCTGTAGTCCTCGAATTTGTTTCATAGGCACTTTAATTAAAGAGTCACCAAGATGTGCATCATGGGCAGATTAACCCATTGAGTGTCAAGCACTCCTTAGACAGAGTAAAATAATAAAGTGGGGCTGTGCATTGCCACTTAAAACTTCCCCTACCCTAGGCTTTAGCAAAGGGGGACCACAGGAATTTTTCAAAAACATTAAAAAAAACCCATCAAACTAGTCCAAATTTTCTTAAAATTGTCAAAACCTTCCTGCCATCAAAACAATTACTTTCGATAAAAACATGTTTTAAAAATTTTGGGTCAAATGCAAAGGAGAGACCACAAGGAACCCTGAGATCAACAAAGGGAGGACCATTAGAAATTTTCGAAAAATGCAAAAGTGCCCAATCAACAGATTTGAACTACATACTTGGGTGAAATGGAAAGGGGGACCATTGAAGGAAGTTTTTATAACATTCTTGTATAATAGTACTTTGCTAACACAATACACAACTATTGTAAGTGAAACTGACCTTTTAAAGTACTTCATCTGCAAATCCAACTGAACTATTTTACAACATCCCAAAACGACAATATGTTGGACTTGATTGGCTTGTACACATTGGTATTTTGTTACGTAGTTGAATTGTCTAAAATGAGTAAGATTAATCAACTGATTAGCTGCAATGCTCCCAACTTTATTATTGTCAGTAGCGTAGCCAGCCCGATGATTTAGTCCCGCTATGCAAATATTTTTGTGTTCATTGACTGTGAAAACAATCAATTTCTAAAGAAATGAATAATGATGATTTTGCATTTGGATAGCAGGACTAAATTGTTGGGCTGGCTACGCCACTGATTATTGTATCATGACTAACACACAGTCATCCAGTGACAGTATACATTAGTGGATAAATATCAAGATTTTGTTACCATCTCACTATTGAATAATAGTTTACTGTCGTTCCAATTGAAGTGTTCTTCAAATATTGATTCAATACATTACCTCGGGCTGACCAATTCATTTCATCAAGTTCCTCGAGATATTCATACACATCCTAGTAGAATTGTAAACTTCCTGTTGAATAGTTTGAATGCACCAATCACCTTTGTTGTTTGTGCAACTAACCAATCATAAATAGAAAGGAAGTGACCAGAAATGATCAAATACTTGGAATTGGCTCTTTCACAGGAAGTGTATGAATATCTCGAGGAACTTGATGAAATGAATTGGTCAGCCCGAGGTAATGTATTGAATCAATATTTGAGCAACACTTCAATTGGAACGACAGTAAGGATCTGGTAGACAGAAATTATCAAGGGGAAATTTATATACAGAGTGAAATAATAAAGTAGGGCTCATCACGATGCATATATTACCCAGTTAATGGGTTAATTGAACACATTTAATAAAAGTGAATTGAACAATATTACGATATAAGATTGTTTAGATAATAATCTCGGTGTGTAATTCAATTACTAATAATATCATGTACGTGTGATTAGTGTATTGAATGGGACAATGTAATTGGGTTAATAATTTATTCTTTGGAAGTGTATAAAATACGGCTTATACACCCAGATTTTGAACTTATATTAAATGCCATAGAATGTTGAACCTTAGATAGACATATATGTAACATGTGTATTTACAGTCAAATCCGGTATTCCGTTGCAGGCAACATTGCAATATTGTCATGCAATATTGATTGCCCTAGCAAATTGCAACTGACGCAAACAAATTGCAATTTTTATGTGCAGTAACAGTATTAAACCATCAACTGCAAAATTTGTAAGTTCATAATATGATTTGAAAACAAGTTTCTAAATAAAGCTTGACTGGCTACTAGTACAAAACAAGCTGATCAAAAAGCATGTTGTTGTCTAACTGATACCATGAATGTACATAAATAAAATAACCCAACTGTTGCCACGAATTTCTCTTTAGAAATCTGGGGTTTTTTTGTAATACAATAAACTCTTGAAAAACACTGTCTTACCAGCATATAAAATGGCTGAGAAACTGTCAAAAACTTGAATAGATCTATAGGGAGATCAATGTCACTCAATGTGTTACAGTCGATTTCAACTTACTTTTCACTTGAATGTTCCGAACTTCGTTCCGAACTTCGCAAATTCGTTGCCAAGTTCAAAAGTTCATAATGAAATTCACAAAGGTTTGATTTAATAGCCAATCAGAGGCTTTGTTTACAAACCTGTTAGTGAATTTTTTTGAACTTGGCAACGAATTTGCGAAGTTCGGAACAAAGTTTGGAATCTTACGGTGAAAAGTCTGCTGAAATTGACTGTAATCAGACCGATCATGCATGTGTAGTTAACCTATTATGTACTTAGTCAATAGTGAAACCCCAACCCCACTGGGACAGGTCGGGTTTTATCAAGAGTTTGCGGGGGAAATACAGCATTTTAACCGAGCATCGCCTCTTCGATTCCAGGATTTAACACTAATATAAAAGCAAGTTATAATAGCCTGGGTGTATCACCACATGAAAAAGGCTGGGGTAGATATGTTAACAATTGAACAACATTTTTGGGCCGGGAGTTTAACACTTGTGAAATGTTAAAATCCCAACATATTCGGGGGAAGGGGCAGGGTTTCAATTGACTAGTGCATTAAGCTGTATTGTGCTCAGTATAGACATAGCCGGAGATGGGCCCGGGCCCCCAGGCACAAATTCACTCGAGGCTCTTCAAATACAAAAACCAATACCAGCCGACAATTTAAAAAAATAGTACAAAACATAATCCGAACATTAGCATCTCGAAACCCAAAATATGAGTCAAACAAGAAAGTGAATGAGTAATATTTCGATTTTATTACAAAATCATCAGACTAACTATAGTTACAACATATACATGGTCTTATATATACAGATCTTATATATACATGATCGTATATATACAATTATATATATATATACATGGTCTTCAATCGTGGTTCTGATTGAGACTTCCGTTTGATGTCATCATGCCTTGCCAAGTTGTATATAAGACCATGTATATATGGTAAATATAGTTAGTCTGATGATGATTTTGTAATAAAATCGAAATATTACTCCCTCACTTTCTTGTTTGACTCATATTTTGGGTTTCAAGATGCTAATCTTCGGATTATGTTTTGTACTATATTCTTAAAATACAGGCGGGCGGTGATGTAGACTTGCTCCAAGTCTCTCTTTCATTGTCATATCGATCCACTATAGTGTACATTACATGACGTAGCACAGAGAGGCGGAGCGAAAAAGAGAGACTTGTCAACTTCGGAAAATCTCGGTTCAAAACTGAACCGAAAATGCAAGACTTGCTTTAATTGTTTTCTGTCAGTGTTTATATGTATTGATATAACACAGTGTAAATAACATGAGTTCCATTATAGTAAATAATACAGAATGAAATTGAAGGAAAGAATTAAAGCAAGTCTAGCATTTTCGGTTCAGTTTTGAACAGAGATTCAGGGTCCGAATTAACGCTTCGCAAATCGCAAAATGCAAAGCGATTTTGAGTATTGCGATTATCAACCTTGATATCCAGCTTTCTTCCATTTCATCGTCGAGTGTCTCAGACATTCATGTGGAGCATGCATCTCACTTTTGTTTTGAGTTCTGCGCGCGTCAGTGCTTCAGACTAAAGTGCTGCAACGTGTTAGGTTGGCATCACAGCTGTCAACTAGCGAGTTGAAAAATAGCATTTCAAGTTCAACGATGAGAACGACAATTCATTGTTTGTTTAGCCATTTGGTTCACTTTTAATTTAAAGTTATACTGTAACTTGCATCTTAGCGTTTTAATTTAAAGAAGATAGAAATCATAGAACTTTAAACAATGACGATGTATACCAGTAACAAGGATAATAGACCTGCATTTATAATTCGTAATTGCGGGGGGGCACATGCCCATTTGTGAATTATCCCTAAGGATTGTATTGTATAAATACGGCAATTCCTTGACTTTACCGATGTTTATTGATTGGAATTTAGTGTTGTTAAGGCTGCTTTCCAGTTAAGCGTTTTTTATTATATGTGCGTCAGTGCGTACACACACGGAAAAGTCTAAATCCAGTTTCCTATATGAAATAATTAAATGAATAAAAGGTCAGCATTTAGTGTTGTGAATTATTTAAAGCATATTTGTTGATCGAAAGATTTAAACTTTTCCCGGTGCGTAAACGTATACATTCGAAAAACGCCGCCTTTATTTTGGGAGCAAATACGAAACGTAACGTTTTGACATTCAACACATGGTAACATTGCTTTGATAATTACTGCGTGGTCACGGTTATACAAATGCAGTTATACAAATGCGAGAGCGTGCATATTTTTATACCGAAAGCGAAGCATTTGATTTTTAGCAGAAGGTAGGACTTAAAAAAGTAAAAGTATGGCGCATGTAAAATGACGTGAAATTATTGCAATCATGTTCTAAATGCCTTAGCAAAATCATTGCGTGCGAGTACTGTGTACATCCCTTTTCGGCTTTTTGTGATGCTAAAAATATCGGGGGGGGGGGGGGG